TCTGATGTTATCTTGTTGCTTGGTTTATTTATTTTTTTCAACTGAAGTATTTGCAGTGTTCAAATGGGACTTGGATATAAGAAAGTATGCCTGGTATAAACTCTATATTATTCCCTGAGTAGTACATTAACTGGGAGAGCAATCACAACTGCTTGCTATGCAGCTGTCATACCAGCCAATTAATAACAGTGAGCCCTTGACTTCAATAACTGTGGGAGGAAAAACAACCAAGGAGAGCATGGATTATACTTGAATTTTAGTAAATAAGATTAGGAGTGGGAAGAAAGTAGGATGGGTAAGGATAAAGATTAGGCATTAGATTTATTTAGAAAAGAAAACAAAAAAATGGAAGTGGGTAAAGTAAATAGGAAGGGAAAGTTGGAGTGCTGTTAGGCTCTCCAGACTTTAGAGGCAGTTTAATCTGTTGAAGGTTACAATTAAGAAGTAAAAAGTGGGGCCAGGCGTGGTGGCACACGCCTTTAACCCCAGCACTCAGGAGGCAGAGGCAGGCGAATCTCTGTGAGTTCAAGGTCAGCTTGGTCTACATAGCGAGTTCCAGGACAGCTGGGGCTACAGGGAGACCCTGTCTCAAAAAGATCAAAAAAAAAAAAAAAAAAAAGGAAAAAGTGGAGGGGATTAAATAAGTGTGAGAGAAGGAAGAAAAGGCATAGGAACAAGGGAGGTAGCGTGTGAGATGGGGCTGCAGAGTAAAGATGTAGTAACTGGGTGGAGCATAAACAAGAGTCCTGAAATCTACCTGAGCAACATACACAGAGAACCAAAACTGTCTTGAGACATATGCAGAAGTGGAAATTAAATCGTAGAAAATAAGACAAAGTACTTATGGAGTGATATGGGAACGACTCTTCTGGGCAAGCCAAAGTTAATCTTATGTTTTGAGATCATTTAATACCATCTATTCAGTCTGCTTTCCTACTGTGTAACTAGCCAATTTAAATCTAGCTAACTTTTAGGAAAACAATGTAAACACTTTCTAGGCCTTGGGCTCCTCTTGTAATAAATTTTTACAAGCTAAGCTTTAATATATAGCTTTAATCTTAAAAAATGTTCCTTATTTTCCCTCATGACCCTTCCTTGTCCCTGGTCTAGAATAATGTATGTTTGTGTATGTAAGTTGTGAAAATATTATTGCTGAAGGCAACTATGAAGTATCAGCAGTACATACTGCAAAACAATTTGGGCTTAGGTTGATAACATCTGTTTGTGGTTTTTGTAAATAGGTAAATAGGGGTCAGAAAAGACAAATTCCTCCCCATAAGACTAAGTTCCTCATTCTTTTCTCATATTATGCTGGATGCTGTTTAAATAAATAATCAGAGTATGCCCTTTGTCAGAGGAACAGTTCCAAGAGAAATCAGAAGGAACAGTTCTGAGAACAGATCAGGCTCAACTCTTGGTTTAAGAGTTAGACACTTTTTGTTCAGGCACCACTGCACTGTGGCATCCTCCACAGAGCGAGTTACTAGCACAGCTGTTCTGAGTTGAAATGTGAAAATCTCATATCCCTCCAGCTCTAGTAGATTCCACATGGTGCTGTGGGTATGAGGGGTGAGTAGGAACCCTTGGTCTTTGCAGCCTCTGTATTTGTGAAATTCTGGGGAGGACAGGTGGTAAGTCCTTTGCTAACATTCTCTTCAGACCCCTGCACTCCGTTGTGGCCTCTTCTGGTCCTGAGGTCTGGTGTGTGTTGGGAACAGCAGTCCTTTGCCTCCAGTGTGCCTTCTTATAATTGGTTGAAAGGCCATGATACTTCTGATCATCACACTCAGAAATAGAAGCCAATGAGCTTGACGATAAAGGGTGTCCTTGCACCCCAAGGATGGGGGTTGTCTCTGTAGATCTTATTACCCCAGCTACCAGTTTGCTCTCAGATTCATTTGAAACTCAAGCCCTTGTGAAGTAGTTCTGTAAATCTGTTTTTTTTTTTCAGGGCACACTGACTTAGATAAATGTCAGTAGTACTTTGTCAGATCAGACCCTTTACATTTCTGATCTACCTTTTTGTTTGTAGTGCTGAGAATCAGATCTAGGACACTGTCACTAAGCTCCATCTTCAGTTCTGTCAGTCCATTTTTGTTATCATTTGTAGTTACAAGTCTACACACCAGTTGTTTTCTTTTGGCCACATTTACTTTGGCTTTTCTTGTAAGTATAATTTCTTTTTTTTTTTTTGGTCTTTTTGAGACAGGGTCTCCCTGTGGTCCCAGCTGGCCTGGAACTCACTATTTAGACCAGGCTGGCCTTGAACTCATAGAGATCTGCCTGCCTTTGCCTTCTGAGTGCTGGGATCAAAGATGTGCACCACCATGCACAGTGTATAATTTCTTTTAAAAAATTTGTATTTTAATTTTATGTGTATGAGTGTATTACCTGCATGTGTGTAAGTGCATCCATGTTGTGCAATGCCTGTGGAGGTCAGAAGAGGGTATCAGATCCCCTGGAGCTGGAATTATGGATGGTTCTTAGCCACCATGGGGGTACTGGGATTCAAACCCGGGTCCTCTGGAAGAGTAGCCAGTACTCCTAACTGCTGAGCTGTCTCTCCAGCCCCTAAGTGTAATTTCTTATATGCCTTTTTCATATCCATTTGAGAGTATGTTGGTGACATTGACCTTTTACTCCTAAACACCTATTATTAAACATATTTTCTAAAATATTTTTACCAGATTTATTTGCCTATGTGTATGTGTGTGAGCACACACCATGGCACATGTGCTGAGGTCAGGACAAAGTGCAGGAGTTGATTCTCTCATTCTACCATGTGGGTCCCAGGGACCAAGCTCAGGTCATCAAGCTTGGGGGCAAGCACCTGTCCCTGAGCTGTATTGCTGGCCCTTAAACATAGTTTCTAAGAATTAATGCTTTGGGTCAGTGAGATGGCTTAGCAGGTAAAGGTGCTTGTCATGTAAGCCTGAAGATCTGAGTTTGATTACTGAAACCCATGTAAAGGTGGAAAGAGAAATTGGCTCCACAAAGTTGTACTCTGACTTCCATACATTGCACATGCATGCCCCTATCTCTCTCTCTCTCTCTCTCTCTCTCTCTCTCTCTCACACACACACACACACACACACACACACGTAATAAATAGAAATTTAAGAACCAAGTGCTGCTTCTTCTATAGCCATAATATACTATATTAAGAAATCTAGCAATGTTAAACTGAGCATGGTGGTGTAGGCCTTTAATCCCAGCAGAGACAGGCAGATTTCTGTGAGATTGAGACCAGCCTTGTCTACAAAGTGAGCTCCAGGCCAGCTGGGGCTACAGTGAGATCCTGTCTACAAACAAAACAAAACAAAATTTAATAATGGTTCAGATGGTAATGCTATATAGTCTACATTCTATACTCAAAATTCATCAGTTGTTCCATGAATATTTTTATAGCTATTTTTAAATTTAGCTATCATTTAAAACACAAGGTTTTTAGTAGTTATGTCCTTTAGGTATCTGTTAATCATCTGGAACAGGTTTATTCAATCTTTCTACTTTATAGAATGTCTCTCAATTTGGATTTGCTTATTACTTCATTATTAGATTTAGGATATACTTTTTTATTTTAGGGGGAAGGATTGAGCTCAGGGCTTTATGTGTGCTAAGCAGGTGTTCTACCACCAAACTCTACCTGCTTCCCTAGGAAATGCATTGTGAGTGTGTATGCTGATTTGCATGTGTGTGCATGTGGAGACCAGAGTTAGATGTTGTATGTCTTCCTTAGTCACTCTCCATCTTGTGTTTTGTTTTAAAAATTTTAAATTTATTATTTTTTTTGTGTGTATGTATGAGTGTTTTACTTGCATGTACATAAGTGCACCTGTGTGTGCAATGCCAGTGGAGGCCCTAAGAGGGCATTGGATCCCTTGGAACTGGAGTTATGGACAGTTGTTAGCTGCCATGTGGGTGCTGGGAACCAAATCTGGGTCCTCTGCAAAAGCAGCTAGTGTTTTTAACTGCTGAGCCCTCTCTCCAGCTAAATAATAACATTTTATGTTGTCTTAGAGCCCAGAATAGTCTTTTTAAAAAAATTTATGTGTATGAATGTGTTTTCCCTACGTGTATATAGGTGTACCACATGCACACATACCCATGGAGCCTGAAAGGATATAGGATCTCCTGAAAATGGAGTTACAGACAGTTGTTAGGTGCCATGTGGTTGTTTGGGTCATTTTCAAGAGTAGCAAGGGCTCTTATCTGCCTTCTCTCCAGTCCCTCTTGTTTTGAAACAGAATCACTGAATTAGGAGCTTGCCGACTGGCTAAACTTCTTGGCCAGCAAGCCCAAGAGATCCTCTTGTCATCTGTCACCATAGTGTTGAGATAGCAGATATGTATTGCCATGCCTGTTTTTTCTATAGGTGCTGGGGATGTGGACTTAGGTCCTCATGATTATACGACAAGCACTTTACTGAGCCATTTCTCCAACTCTAAAAATGCATTAAAAAGATTTATTTTTATTTTTAATTATGTGTATATGTGTGTGGGCTTGTGCATGTGTGAGTTCAGGTGCCCTGGGAATTCAGAAGAGGGAATTGAATCCTCTGGAGCTGGAGTTACAAGCAGTTGTGAGCCATCTGATGTGGGTGTTGGGAACCAAACTCAGGTTCTCTGTAAGAGTAGCATGAACTCTTAACTGCTGAGCCATATCCTCAGCCCCTGGGAATGCATTTTTGACAAAAGTACAGAGAAGTAAGATGTTCTTGGTAAATCATATCAAGGGATATACAAACTCAGCTAAATTGTTTAGGAATATTGATAATGAGTCCTATAGAGTGCAGTAGAGGATGTTAGTTGATTATTCTGGGCAGTGTTGGGGGTGGGGAAGGATTCAGACATGAATAATTGTTCATAGGTCATAAACTATTGGATTTTCAAAGAAGGGAGAAATCAACATCCAGACAGAAAATGTTTTTGCTAAATCAATGAGGAAAATACTTGCAAGCGAAGCTACATTAATTTTATGTTTTTTATTAACCATTTTAGAATAGAACATTTGGATTCAGATGATCTGGCCAGATTTCCTGAAGTGGTGTTTGGATACCTGTCACCAGCCATGGTTGTCATCAGCACACCAAACTCTGAGTTCAACCCCCTGTTTCCCACAGTGGCCCTGAGGGATGCAGATCATAAATTTGAATGGAGCAGAATGGAGTTTCAGACCTGGTAAGTTCAGATAGGTTTCTGTTTGGTAGGAATCCTTTTAGGGAGTAAGCTTTGACATGTCTATCTTACCTACATTGTTTCTTCCTTTATTCCAATAAGGTCTCCTTGTGTAACTTACTGTGTAACAAGCACAGGAGGGATCCACCACATTCAGACAGCAGTGAAAAGGGTGTGTGCCTGCTGGGTGCCATTTAGGTGGAGGTACCTGTAGTTTTGGCCGGAAATGAAGACCAAAACAGGGAAGGCTTGGCAAACCTCATGCCCATTAGGTAGCTTCTTGGCTTGTACATTGTCCGGTGTCGTTGCAACTGCATGTAGTCTGAGTTGTAGCCTTCGCGTGTCCTTGTCTGACCCCACACTCTGCCTGTCTCATTACTTTCCTCTCTTCCTATTCCTGTGGTGACTTGGAAACTGAAACTATGTCACTGCCTTTGCTCCTCAACAGAAATGGAGCAGTCTCGGTGGTACATAATGTAGCTGTGTAAGAATGTCTCAGTTACAAGTTGAAGAAAATTTTAAGACAGTGTCTCCTTATGGAGCTCAGGCTAGCTTCAAACTCCTGATCTTTTTGCTTTAGCTGCCCAAGTGGCGGGATTACAGGCATGTGCCTCTAGGCTTGGTGTAGAACTATTTTGATTCATTGTATTTCCCATGTTTCCTACTGTTTTATAATTGTTTAATAAGTCATCTAACAATACCTGTATGTTTAGAAAAGTGATTGCTCTTTGTTTTTTTGATTTCAGGGCTTCACAAGTGGCAAAGTGCTATAATTACTGTGTGGAGTTTACTGGGGTAGGGACACCACCAGCTGGAGCTGAGCATGTTGGATATTGTACCCAGATAGGTGTCTTCACGAAAATCGGTGGGAAGGCAGCTGGATCATGTGTTTCAGAGGATCACGACCAACATGTTTATAAAGCTGTAAGTATTCCTTGTGAAATAGCTATCAGGGCAGGTACATGGGTTAGGATGATGAACTTTTTATTAATATTTTTGGAAGAGTCCCGAGAGTTGGGACTGGAGAGATGGCTCAACAGTTAAGAGCACTGGCTGCTCTTACAGAGGACCCGAGTCTCAGCACCCACATGGCAACTGACAACCATCTGTAACTCCAGTTTCAGGGGAAGTCAGTGCCCTCTTCTGATCTCTGTGGGCATTGCACAACACAGGCACACTTATCCATGTGCAGGCAGTACACTCATACCAAACAAAATAAAAATAATAAAATATCTAAGAAATAGTCCCCAAAGTAGAAAGGACTATTGAATGTTAATTTTGAGGTTCACCGTAGAAAGCTCCTTCAGGCCCCATGACTACTGGCTCAGGGTTGGCCTATAGCATTCTTTCAGACTGCCTGGCTCCCTGGCATTTCTCAAGGCATGTTACAGAGAACAGTTTGCTGGAGGTCTTCCTAGAATGCTTCAAAGAAGTCCTCCCACAGCCTCCTCTGTAATATCTTAGGATTATCAGCAGCAAAGAGAAAGCCAGCAATAGCTTCTTTCCAGCCTGGCTCAGAAATGATGACAGCCTCTGGGCCATGCTAAAGCTCATGGTGGGTGGAATACTTGCCCAGCATGCACATGCATGTCCTGGGTTCCCTCCCTAACATGTTTGTGTGTGTACACACATGCACACATGCATGCATACACACATATCTTCCAGAAGGAATGCATTTTTCTTTGACTGGACCATTTTTCTTTCTCTTTGTTTTTTTCTTTGGCCCTTGTCTTAATCGGTTGCCTAGAATGGCCTTACCTCTTTGGTCCAGTTATTCTCCTGCATTAGCTTTCCAAGGAGCTGGGGTTGTAGGCATGTGTTACTGATTCCATATTGACAGCCCCCCCCCACTTTTAACTAACTCCATTTCTGTGTAATGCCAAGTAGAAGTATTGGCTTAGAGTACACTGGTAGGCATGTGGCTGGGGTATAGTTGGCCATAGAATTGGAAGCAGATCCGATGACCAATGTTTGTATGTTTGACTCCCAATAAAATTAAGGCTTTTCCAACGAATAGGTTGTGACATACATCATATATATATATATATGTATATATATATATATATGGCCATATACATACATGGTCAGGAATTACTGATGGCTTTAAAAACTTTCCTAGTCTATCTGTCTTGTTTTTCTTCCCTTTAGGTTTATATGACCTCTTATCCGAGTTTACAGCAGGAAAAGGTACTCAAATTTGTATTGGTCGGGGAACTGTTGATACAAGTGGAACATTTGAGGTTGAGACACCACCGGATGCTGAGAGAACGGAAAAGGGAATCAGACCCTAAGCCAAGGGATACTGACTTCTCCCTGGGCCCTGACCTGCTCTTGGGAGCAGTCTTCACGGAAGCTGAAAAGGCCAGGATAGAAAATTCTCCTGAACCCTTCTGTGAAGGAGATAAGTTTTGTGTACCCTTGCAAAGACTCCTTGCTTATCCCAAATTACACCGCCTACGTGTTGATGAAGAGAGGATGCGGGCCCTCATTGCTGACTCTGTGTGCTTAAGCAGTGACAGTTCTGCAGTCATGGTTGACCTATATAATTCTTTGGATTATTGGCCTGAAGACAGTTGATCCATCCACATTTCCTGAAGTTCAGGGTCTCAGTAATAGTTGAACTCACTTAGAATTTAAACCTTTTTTTTTGGTGTGGTGCTGGGGATTGAACCCAGGGCCTTGTGCATGATGGGCAAGTACTCTACTACTCAGCTGCACCCTCAGTTTTAGAAATGAAGCTTTTTACAGTCATAATTTAAGCAACATTTAAAAAGTTTTAACACAAATTGGGTCCTAAACTAGTTGACGGATATGCCTGACATACAGATGTCCCTTTACCTGAGAAGGGTGGTAGGGCTTCACTAAAAGTTGTATATATTCTTTTAACATTGGGATTTTTATTTGATGTTTACAAGAATGAAGAAATTGGATGTGGCAATGTGTTAATTTTGAACTCACCCATATTTTGGTGTTAGAGCCATGTGTTAAATGTGACATTAAAGCAGTTAAATGTGTTCAGATCCACTTGAAAAACTTTTCCTAGGGCTGGACATAGAGGCACATGCCTATAATCCTAGGACTTGAATAGCTGAGACAGGAGGATCATGGGTTTGAGGTCAGTCTGGGCTACATGGTAAGACTCTACCTCAAACATACCCTCCCAACTTTTTCTGGGGATGCTTTCAAATCTAGGATTCTCATCTGTGTCAAATTCCGCCTATGTTACTTTGCCTAAAACATCATGTGAAAAATGATTTTAGGTAGTTTTGAAGGTTACAGAACTCTCTTCCTGAGATAAGCATTATCCAGTTTCTTTTCTTATGTCCTTGTTGTGCTGGGGGTCGAACCCCAGGGCTTTGCACCTTCTAGGCAAGGGCTCTACCACTGAACTACTCTCAGCCATGTTTATTTTTTGAATACCCTCCTCTGTAGGAGCTATTTGGTTGGAATTGGGGTGGTAGTGGCCATAGGAGAGAAAATATGGCTTTGTCCAATGGGGGAGAAACGGGCTTCAAGGTGACATTCCTGTGTGAGGTATAGGAGTCCAAGGGTACGCCAGCCAGGCATGGCTACTCTGCCATCTCAGGGACCCTGGGGTCTGCCTTGATAACTGGGACACTTAGCTTGCTACCTTAGAGGTGGACAATTGAGGATTAACCTCCACTTACCACTTACATAATCCACAGCAGCAAAGAGGGAGAAAAGAGAAGTACCACTTACCAGCTGCCTGGGGTAGTTTGCTGCTCATTGTTAGGCAAAACCACACCACTTCCTGTGCCCACACATAGTAGGAAGGGAAGTTGAGAAGTATAGTCTGTATTCTAGGAGGCCACATGCCCACTTGGTGGTCTGGCTTCTAAGGAAAATGAAGAGAATGGACATGGGGGCAAGCTGTCTGTCCCCCCGCCCCACACCCCAGGACAGCCCAAGTACCCTGAGGTATATTCTCTGGCTGTGCAGAATTGGTCCCTGGGCAATACACATCTCTGGACATTCATCTTCAAGCTGAATTTTCAAGGGTTAATAATCAGAAAGTGGATTTGGCGAGGATGGAGCGGAACAGAGATTTTTATAGAGAAAAATCTTAATCACTTTGCCATTTCTAACCAGCTGGCTTCTCCTTATATTCTCTAAGCTGATCCAGCAGACTCCGTGTATTGCCCTGCATACTCAACGGTCCATGTGACCTAGACAGGATTTGCATGCTTCCCCTCCACACCCAAAGGCCCTCTGTCCTCACCTCTCTAGGTCTGTGCACGAGGTTCACCCAAGGGCTACCTTTGTATCATTGCTGGAGTCCCATTTTTAGTCAGGGTCATCAGTCTTGTCTTATTCTTTCTCCAAAGTTAGTCCAGCAATTCTCTTGAAGCCTGGTGACTTGATCCCTTACCCAGAAACCTCTTAAGTGTTCATGACTGCAGTGGGGCTGGAACTGCTCTTTCTTGTCTTCATACTTCTGTACCCACCTTTCCACCCTTCCCAGGCCTGCATCCACGCTAAATAAGCACTCTACCACTGAGCCACACTCCCAGTCCTTGTACTCACAAGGACTGTGTTTACCTCCTAACCTTGATAGATGCCTTTCTTTGGACACTGAAAGGTTTATTAACATTCTAGGCCAGGGATTGTTATAGTTCATGTAGGGAACTTTTGTTATAGTTCATGTAGGCAACTCTCATAACTGTTCTACTCTGCCTGAGATGAGGTGTAAAATAACTTTATGGTGAAGAATGAGCATGTGTGCTTCACTTAATAAACATCTTCCAAAAGCAACTGTCATATTTTGTCAATAATTTGCAGCCCCTTGCCATTTTCTTTTTCCTTTGGTGCTAGGAATGGAGCCCAGGGCTTTGTATGTGTTAGGCAGGGTAGAGCCCCATCCCCAGCTCAGACACTTGTTCTAACGTAACACCCTTAGCAGCACAGAAACAGTGGTCTTTGTTAAGAGAGAAGACAGCTAGGGATTGTAAGCCCTGCTGTAAAATGCAGAAATCAAGCCAGGCATGGTGGCACATGCCTGTAATCCTAGCATTTAGGAGGTGGAGACAGGAGGATCAGGGGTTCAAGGTCATCACTGGCTACATAGTTTGAAGCCAGGAGCTTCATGAGGTCCTGTCTCAAGAAAAAGTAAAACCAAAAACCAGTCCCAACCATCATCACCACCACCAAAACAAAGGGCAGAAAACAGCTAATTAGATTAGCTAAAGGAATTTTGCCCCAATTATGTGTAAAATGAGGGGCACTAGCCACATGGGGAGGTTCTTATAAATGCTATAGTGATAGTAGCTAGCACAGGGTGAGCATCTGAGGTAGCTGTGTTAGTCTCAGGGTGGCAATCTGAAGATCTTGGGACAGTGAGGCCCATTCTGAATTCAGGCACCTGTCATGGTACATACTTGAGACCTAGTTAGAGAGTATTCCCATCCTGTAAGATTGTTTCTTACTGAATGGCCAAGCACCCTGCAGGGTTCATGAGACCCATAGCACAGTGGCAGTGCACACCTAGCATGTGCACAGTCCCCTCCACTCTCTACAGACTGACTTCGACATAGCTCCTAACCACATTTGACACTGCTGAATGGAGACCTGCTGAAATGGGGTCCTCTTCAGCCATCAGCTTTATTTGACCTGTCACCTGCTATCTCTTGACTCACTGTCCTCAGAGCATGTCACATCTCATTTGGACCATGCCCCTGGAGTGCAAGGCTGAATGGCCCATCACTCCTTCCCTACTCAGTTCCAGTCTGAACATTTTCTAGCAAGTCAGACATGAGAAAAGACCTTGGAACTCCTAATGCAACCTTCAGATCTGGAATTTCTCAGTTCTGTCTCCCGAGACTGAGGGAAATTTTTAAGGTACTTTTTTTTTCTGGAGACTGTTTTTGTTTTTGAAACAAGGTCTCACTACATAGCCCTAACTGGCCTGGAACGCCCTCTATGTAGACCAGGCCAGCTTGGAACTCATAGAGATCCTCCTGCCTCTGCCTCCCAAGTGCTGGGATTAAAGGTGTGTACTACCAGGCAGGCCTAGCCTCTGGAGATACTTAAAAAAACAAACAAACAAACAAACTATGTGCTGGGATCAAATCCAGGGCCTTGCACATGCTAACATGCTCTGGCAAGCCCCTCTCCCAGCCAGAAGTGTTCAATGTAATTTTAATTTTCCTCCCCTTTTGCTTCATTTGGGAACTCCTACTAGGAACACATTGTACTTTACATGTTGAATAAAGTGTATTTGTTGCTGTCATATTTTCAGGGCTAAGCACTGGTTCATGTCGAGAAGTTTCTGGTTGCAAGAACTGTTGGGAGGGAGGTTGGAGGGGGAAGTACGTTTTCTCTCAAACTTACATTCTGGCTGAATAATGAATACAGCACTCAGCTGGCTGTGGTGGCACACACCTGTAGTTTCAACACTCAGGAAGCAGAGGCAAGGGGTTTGCCACAAGTCAAGGCCAACCTGGGCTACATAGTGAGACCTTATCTCTAAAAACCGAAACCAAATAAGGGGAAAAAATTAAACCTTTGAATTTTTTTCCTATAATAACCTTAAAGTATTTTATTTATTATGCTGGGCATAGTGGCACATACCTTTAGTCCCAGCACTCAGGAGGTAGAGGCAGGAAGATCTCTGTGAGTTTAAGGCCAGCCTGGCCTACATAGCGAGTTCCAGGCCAGCTGGGGCTACAGGGAACCCCCAAAAGACCAAATAATTTTATTATTTTTATATGCATGAGTGTATTGTCTGCATGTATGTAAGTATACCTGGGTTGTGCAATGCCTGAGGAGGTCAGAAGAGAATGTCAAATTTCTCTGGAACTGGAGTTAAGGATGGTTGTTAGCCACCATGTGGGTGCTGGGAACTGAACCTGGGTCCTCTGCAAGAGCAGTGAGTACTCTTAACTGCTGAGCCATCTCTCCAGCCCCTCCTGTAATAACCTTATAATTTAAATTATGAAAGTAAAAGTATAGTTCAGAACTATATATAAGGCTGGATGTAATGGCACACACTTTTAATCTTAGTGCTTGGAGGCAGACACAGGTGAATCTTTATGAGATTCAGGCCAGCCTGGTCTATATAGCAAGTTCCAGGCCAGCTGGAGCTAGAGGGAGATGCTGTCTCAAAAAAACTAAACAACAAACAGACTAATATATAATTTAAAAATAGACGTTGTGCCAGGTGTGGTGGTGCATGCCTTTGATCCCAGCACTCGGAAGGCAGAGGCAGGTGGATCTCTGTGAGTTCAAGGCCACCCTGGTCTACATAGTGAATTTCAGGACAGCTGGGGCTACAGAGCTGGGGCTATAGAGTTCCAGGTAGCTGGGGCTACCCTGTCTCAAAAAGACCAAAAAAAAAGAAGAAAAAAAAAATAGACATAATACCTTAATTTTTTTAAAGCATTAATACCCTCCATCCCATAACTTCTTGGGACTTCCTGGTCTCTCCAGGTCATTGCTTCTCTGGAAGCAGCAACCCTGCCCACAATCCCTCATAGAATTCCAGTTGCCTATTTTTATAGCAATTTCCTATACATGGCATTTACTATATGTATTTTTATACTTATTCTTGTTCATTTACTATATATTTACATATTTAAAAATTTTTATTTATATATGTGTGTGTATGCACATGTGTGTGCAGGTGCCTGTCGAAGCCAGAAGGGGGCATCGGATTCCTTGGAGCTGGAGTTAAGGGCAATTGTGAGCCACCTGATGTGGGTGCTTGGAACTGAACTCAGGTCCTCTACAAGGGCAGCAAGTGCTCTTAACCTCTAAGCTATCTCTCCAGCTTCTACTATATAATTTTGATGCAACTTGTTCATCAGCAATTTATAAATACAACTGGATATACTTCATTCTGTATTGACTACGTGTTCTTTTGCAAAACATTAATAATACTCATGTATAAAAATTCATGCAAAAAAAATCCCAAATTGTTTTTTTTTTTTTTTTTTCACATTCAGGATTTTTATTTGAACTTCTGGCAGACAACTTACACCCCTCACCCTTTCCTTTAAGTTAGTGTGACAATTCTCAGTAACAAACTACTTAAAGGGAAGCTTTGGTCAAAATGTAATGAAATACCAAAATCAAAACAAAACAAAAGTAAAACAAAACAGAAAACAAACTACTGCCTCCTTTAAAACCAACACTCTCACCAATGATACCCAAACGAACACACAGTTTGCTTGATCCGAGGTGCAGTGTTTCCATGGGGCCTGCGTTCCTCGACACCACGTGAGGCAGAGCCGTGGTCAGCCTGCTCCTCAAGCTGGATGGCGGAGACCAGCTCGGCTTCACATTATCCAGAGGCCCTGGATCGAGGATTCTAGGGTCTTGAAATCCCAAATTGTCATGGATCCATCAATACCAGTAGTGCAAAATTTGACAGTCTTCCTTGTCCATCTCATAAATAGATGCTTGAGTGATGCTGTTCTGGTGCAGCATCTCCAAGGCCATGTTGGCGGTCCTCGGTTGTGGCCCTCTTGTCCATGTTGGTGGAAGAGTTCCATGGCAGACGTGTTGTGATGGACGTTCTGTTTTGGAATGTCTAGCTTGGAGACAAAGGTCAAGCAGCCACGGTCGTCATAGTTAAAGAGCACTGGACAGCAGTCATGGCCAGCAGCAACTACGCTGTTCTCCTAGACAAATGACACACTCAGGAGTGGCAGGAACTCAGAAACTCAGGTTTTCAGAGTTGGGACCTGCACGCTGTTTGAAGCATCAGCAACGGACATGGTGCTATCATGGCTGACCCAGGCCAGGGGACTCCCACTGGCAGAGAAACTGACCCCATGTACCCAGCTGCCAGTGCCACTGCCTCCAAATTCAGGCATTAGCTGACCAAAAGGCATCTTACTGCCCCAGGGCGTGCTGGCTGGCTTCTCATCCACCTCTTTAATGTAGGCGGAGAACGCTCTGCCTTTGAAGTCACAGGAGCCAGCAGCCAGCAAAACATTGTTGGGATGCCAGTCTAAGCTGAGGACCGTGGAGCGAATCGGCTTTTTAAAGTGCTTGCTCACCAGTCATTTTCAGACTCGAAGTAACAAACAGAAATGAGTCGGGCTCCACTCCCCACGGCAACCTTGTTCTTTAGCAGGGATCGCTTCACAAAAGTGGCTGCGTGGTTAATCCTCAGGATCACCAGGGTTGGCTTCCAGACACCATCTTTCTGACTCCAGACATAGGCATTGCGGTCTGCCCACAAGTGACAATGTGGTCACTCTTAGGAGCCCAGTCAATACCTGTGATATGTCTGTTATGTTCCTTGAGTTCATGGGCTTTCACCCACTGGCTGCTGTTCTTGTAGATGTGTACTTTGTGATTGTTGGGGTTAAGAGCGATCTGGGTACGATCCCGGTTCCAGGTATGGCAAGTGATGGGCTCTAGTAGAAACTGATGCACGGACATGATTCTTAGTGTTTTCAATGGGCTGAAAGCTGCTCCAGGCGGTCGGGAAGCTGGCAGCAGAGGATTCGCCGGCTCTGGTCAGTCGACGCAAACAGGCTCCAGTGAGCGCCCAAATTGTTTTTAAGGATGTAATGCCCTTCACGGCTGGAGAGATGGCTCAGCAGTTAAGAGCACTGGCTGCTCTTGCAGAGGACATGGGTTCGATTCCCAGCACCCACAAGGCAGCTAACAACCATTCATAACTTCAGTTTCAGGGGATCTGATGCCCTCTACTAATCTCCGTGGGTATTGTACAACATGCGTGCACCTACATACATGCAGGCAATACACTCATACACATAAAAATAACATAAAAATAATTAAAAAAATGTCCCTCAGCAACTTATGCCTTCCACCCTCCTTTAGCCTTGTTCTCAGTTCACTGTGTAGCTTTCTGCTACTATACAGAATACTAGAGATGGTTAAAAAGAGGAAAGGTTTGT